GAAACTTATTCAATGATCATATAACCCTTTTGGTCCTAAATGTTAAGGGTTGCTTTTTCCAATATATGTTGGCTACATTTTTTTATGTTATTTGTACTAGTTATCAACTTATGAATAATTTCTCTTGGAGTAGTTGGCCTGGCCCTAAACTTACGCGCCTATGATTTCGTCTCTCAAGAGCTAGCCCAATGGAATATTCCATATTTGAGACTTTTCACACTAAAAAATATTCTATTAAACTAAGGTATTTGTGTTTGGATGATTGCTCAAGATCAACGTCATGAAAAGCTTATATTTTATGAGAAGGTTCTACCACGTGAATATGCTCTTTATTCTATTACAATGTTTGTAATTTTTTAAAAATGATTGTCAGATTGTAACTTGCGTTCTATTTATTCTGTTATGGTGTTTGTAATTTTATAAATTGTATAATAATCATAATACATTTCATATTGTTTGTTATATGTAATTCATATTAAAAGTTGCGCAATAATCATACTTCATTTTATAATTTACTAATTATTGAATTTGCATGGCATGCGTACTCTTACACGGGCTCTGTAACAATGAATACATATTGTAATTTTGTATAAATCATCATTTTTTGATATCTAAATATTTTATAATCATTATACCGTATCGTTTGTGTTAATCCTTTATGGTGCTTGTAATTTTCTGAAATTTAATTTACACTCTGTAGGATTTCTTAGTACTTAGAAAAGATGGGGTTGATAAGCAAAATTCTGTATATATAATCTGTTATGCAAGATTTTAACAAGTGATAAATAATTCAACTTTTATACAGAGCCAATTCTTCTTCCATACATGTCAATTTAGGAATTTCAAAAGAAGTCCAATAGTATAATTACATTCCTTTATGATTTGGATGCAAGAGTTTAGAATATAAGTCGTCAGAGAGAGAGAGAGAGAGAGAGAGAGAGAGTTTTGAGAAAACAGATTTTCCTTTATCCCTAAAATTACATAAGAAATTTTCAGGAATACTACTAACAAAATCCTATTCTTTCCTCTTAATTTTGAAACTTTGTTTTGTTAAGGAATGACATCGACCAGAATCTTAAAACTAAAGATTTCATCTAGAAAGGTTAATCTTATTAATACTTGGGAGGACTGAGGAGTAAATCAAACCTTTATTTATTAATTTTTTAATACTTACCCTATGTAAGATTTATCCCTTAATATGAGGAAAGACAAGGCATGAACGGAGCATGGCCAAGCATCTTTGCCCTATCTCGTCCAATCCCTGCCCATTCAACTATTTTGGTAGATGGAGAGAGAATTAAAATATCTTTATTTAGCCTTTGTTGAATTATTTATTAGTTTCGCAATACTATTTTATATATATATAATATTTAAATTTGAAACATAAAAAAATAAAATACAATAAAAAGATTCGACTATATTCTTAGTTCTAACTCAATGTATCAAACAGAGTGGGAACTCTCCGACCTGAAAGGAGTAGGATGGTATAATTTGTAAAGAAATTGTTTTCCGTCCATAGTGATCAAGATAAAATTATCCAATTACTTATATGGTAGGAAAAATCTTTAAAGTTTTCTCTGAATGTAAGAACTTAAGTAAAGTTCTCTTCAAAATGGACAATATAAGACTTTTTATTGTGGGCAGGAGAACTGAAGTGTAATTTACAATCCCTTTGTTTTAAATATTTAAAAATTGATAAAAGATTTAGTTAAAATTAATAATTAATTTTAGCCAATATTTTAAGAAAGATAACTTTTATTACCATCAATCTTATCAACTTTTATCATAAAAATCGCCCCTCGGTTCATAATTCAGTGGTGCAAAGGACAGGAGTGAGGTAATCTCAGCCTTACCGACAACCATAATGTAAGGATTCGATTTCTAAGTGTTTGGCTGTGATGACCAATAACCTTTCTGGGCTGTGATGACAAATGGGCTAAAGCCCAAATAACTGTTTTATTATTCTAGGCTCTTGCCCCTTGACCCTGATCCGCCCCGGCCCAAAGGTAGATAAAAACGTGTTATTTGGCGTGGCGTTTTTAACGCAGCCAAAAACACCCTTTTCTTCAGATTACTGAAAACCCCCTGACTGTTGGATTGAAATCTGATCTACAGCTGCCTTGGTTGGATATATATATTTCCACCTTCTTTGCCCTAATTGAGTTGGACCGTCATTTTACTCCTTTCTTCAGCTGCGGCTGTGCTTCGAGATCCTTCCAAACCCTTCATTCTTCGTGACCATCCAATCTCTGATTGGATCTGAAATCTTCTGAGTGATTCTTTCTTTGTGATACTAAATACTAAATGTATTGGAGGGATTGGAGTGCGATTTACCCTTGTGGTACTAAATACTAAGTGTATTGGAGGGATTGGTGTGGGTCATACAGACGGGTACAATCCTGTATTTTTCTTGAGTCTGAGCCCCATAGATGAAAGGACCTTCATCTGGATGCCGTGTGGTTCGAGTTTCAGTGAACGGGTGAGGATTTGTTCTTCTGCCATTTTTTCTTGTAATATTTTTCTTGTTTATTTTCTGGTTTTGTACTGATATCTTGGTGTAACACTAAGATATGAAATTTGACTCTTTGTGGGCAATAGTATACGGGCAAACTCTTATTTCTTGATCTGTTGGGACACATTTTTCAATTTACTTCCCTCACGATGCTCTAAGAGCGGGACGATGGCCCCTCAACCCCAACCTTTTTTTCTTTTTTTATATCATAAAATTCTATTTAGATGCAGGGCCATAAAGTTGAAATGGTCCAGTGATTTTGTGGTCCGGTCTTATCTAACTCGGTGTTTCAACGCCCTTCGTACGATTTTGTATTAATCAAGTTGAAACCAGCAAAGATCACGAAAACTATTACAAGCTCAGAACAAAAATGGCTGATAATGATAACCCAATTCGTTTTGGAATCATAGGATGTGCAGAGATAGCCAGGAAAGTCTATAGAGCCATAAAGATGGTTCCCAATTCCACTCTTCATGCAATTGCGAGTCGTTCAATCGACAAGGCAAGACAATTTGCCGTCAGAAACAATTTATCGAAAGAGGTGAAACTTTGTGGGGACTACAATGAATTGCTGGATGATCTATCTGTGGATGCTATTTACATGCCATTGCCCACTAGCCTGCATCTAAAATGGGCAGTTTTGGCTGCGCAAAAGGGGAAGCATTTGCTTCTGGAGAAACCCTCTGCGCTTAATGTTAAGGAGCTTGATAAAATACTGGAAGCGTGTGAATCTAATGGGTTGCAGTTCATGGATGGAAGCATGTGGTATCATCATCCCAGGACTGTGAAAATGAAGGATTTTCTTTCTAATTTGGAGCTATTTGGACAAATCAGAGCAGTAAGTTTATGCATAATTTGTTAGTTGTGAGTTGTTTTGCATGGGAATTCTTTACAGTTTTCAATTAATTGTTACTATTTGAGTTGAATTTGTTTTTTCTGGAATGAATCAGGTACATTATAGTGTTGATGACATAATTAAATAACTAGCTGTTAAGCTTATCAGTAGCCATGAAAATTTGCAGGTCTCAGACTCTCAGGCGTTTTATGGAAAAAAAAAAAAATAATAATAAATAACGAAATTTACTGTCCTGGCCTGTGCCTTATCACCCTGATTAGTTGGTAACAGGGTTTCAATAATAATCTGAATCCTTTTTTCACCCTGATTAGTTGGAAACAAGGTTTTAATAGTAATCTGAATCCTTTTTCAAATTATGAATAGGCTAAGCTTTGAGCTAGATGTAATGATACAGCTTGATCATCACTTGCAGAATAGTTTCGTTCATCTCAGTTTTAGATTCTTTAAACTGACTGTCAAGTAGCATACACTGAAGCTTTTCAGACCAATTTCGGCTTTACAGGGTGAGATATTTGGGGAAGGAAAGGGGAGAGTGTGAGGGAAGACACTACATTACCTTCTTATGGATTGTAAAAGAAGAATAGATCTATCAGAATTGATACTGAAATTTTACTTGGTGACGACTACTGATTTCCTAGTTGCCGTAGAGAGTTCAAGGTAATTTGAAACTATGCTAGCAGTGATCAAATAACACAGCAGAATTCACTTGTGCTATTATAGTTATCTTTATTTCAGCGGCCAACATGATATGTGTTGATTATGTTCGGTTAATTGATTGACTCCCATGTCTTATTATTTTTATCAGATTTACAGTTCATCGTCTTATACTGGAACAATTCAGTTTCTTGAAAACAACATTAGAGTAAAACCAGACATAGATGCCCTTGGTGCACTAGGAGATCCAGGGTGGTGCAGCATTGGTGCCATATTATGGTCTATGAACCAAAAACTGCCAACAACAGTCACTGCTCTACCTGCCATAGCCTGAAACTCGGCTGGGGTCATCTTATCATGCAGCGCCTCTTTATACTGGGACTAAGAAAAAACTGTACCAACATTTTACTGCTCCTTAATCTCGCACGAAACCATGGATTTGGCTGTCTATGGTTCTAATGGGACACTTAATGTTGAAGATTTTATAATCCCTTATGAAGAGAGTTCTGCAACATTTAGCTTTACATCTGGGGCTAAGTTTTTGGATCTTCATATTGGGTGGAATGTTAAACCTCAAGAAGTTCAAGTGGCGTGTGAGTTACCACAGGAGGCCATGATGATTCAAGAGTTTTCCAGGCTTGTCAAGGGCATAAAAATTTCCAGACTTAGACTAGATAGCAAGTGGTCCAGTTCGACTAGAAGTACACAACTGGTGCTTGATGCAGTAAAGAATTCCATAGATATTGGTTTTAAACCTGTTCAGTTGTAAGCAGACTTCTTCTAAACTGGTTTTTGAAATAAATTTCGTACAAATTTTGATGCTAATATGGTCGAAATGTGCTCTGTCGGTAACCTGTATGCAGCTTCTTTGAATTTTTTTGCTTCTTGTTACTTCTATTATTTTCATATCCAGAACAGATAGCAAATGCAAGATCCAAATGTCTAGCCACTACAGAATTTGGTGAAATTATGACAAGGGACTTGCAACATCTGAGTTGATAGTTGATACAGAACGGTTACAATGGTCCAATGATGATTAAAAATAACATCAGAATAGACCAAAAAATGAATTTTGTTAGGCAGACCCTATAAATGTTTACGCCTATTGCGAAGATTGTACTTCTTTGTAACTGAACTGGATTCAAGTGAAAACTCTCTACCTTCCTCTGCAACCACGAAGTCAGGGTCCTCTGATTTGTCTACATCTTCTGGTAACTCACAATCAACCCATAAAGACCAGTTGACGTCACTCTCCTCATCCATGTCCAATAACGATTCTTCGTTGCTTTGCAAGCCATGCAAGCCATTAATCTTGTCCATTAGTGTTAATAGCATCTGATGGTTTAGCATTTCATAGTCTCTGCATAATTTGCAAATTATTTGTTAGACATAATATATAATGCATCACATTACCTGAAAATAACTTATAATCGCAATTTCAGTCTTCTACCTGTATGTGTTAATGGCATACAGAAGTTGGATTGCGGCTAGAACCAGGAAAATTGACCTAAGAGAGGTTATTATCCATCCCATTTGTTCAATATCGTATGTTGCACGGCGAAGTATGATTAACTCGATAACAAATGTGACACATAATCCTGCAAACAAGAACTACTATGAAATTCAAATGAACTGGATATCTTCAAGTTTTGCATCAATTAGATGTGTGATACTTACCTATGTAGAGCCTGGGTCGTACATTGTACGTTTGCTTCATACTGGTAAAGATGTAGAGCACGAGGATTATTAATGAATAAAAGAAGAAAGCTTTAATTGCTCGAGATTCAAGAAGCAAAGCATTATGCAAGGCAAAAAGCTTGTCTATTGCTATGAACATGCTGGCTTGCTTCGATTCAAAAGCTTCCTGTAAAGAATGGTGAAATTTGAGAAACGCTATGACAAAAGTCGAATATTTAAGTACTTTAAAGAGGATGCCGTCAAAAAATGTCACACCTGAGCCGCTAATATTGTCTTTGAATTTGCAACTAGATGATCATGAGCCTGTTGAAGTTGCTCTTGCCGTCGAAGAAGCTCCTCTTGTTGGTTCTTCCCAAATTCAGCCATTTGTTGCAAGGTATCCCTTTTAACATATTAAAATTGTAGTAAGTGCATACAAATTCGATCCAGGTTTTAAAGCTAATGTACATTATGTTACAACACTGCTCTATCTATTTACCTGTTCTCTTCAAGTGCTTGAGACTGAAATTTAGTAAGAAACTGAAGACCGTCGAGTGCTGCTGTTTGAGCATCCAAAAGTTGTTTTTGCTTATCCAATGAATTTCCAGTCATATTCTCAATATCGTCAGCTTTATTCTGCAGAGTCGACATTTTCGTAAACATTTCCTCTCCAACTTTACCAATCTCCTTCTCTATTTCTACCGTTTCATCCCTTAAGTTATTTATTTCAATGCCCAAATTATCATATGAATCATGGAGCATTGATATCCCTGCATCCAGGTTCTCTTTCATTTTCTTTTGACTTTCACTTAACTCTAACTGCGAAGCTGCTATTCCCTTCGATTGTTCATGGACTACCTCTGTGTACTTCTTCACAACATTTACATGATCTTCAACATTTTTCGATGTTTCTGCCAACTGGTGAGTTTGGATGTCAATGGAAGCCAAAGAATTATAAATTTGATACGAGTTTTGCAATAATTCCTTCCCTTGTTCTTCAATGTCTTCGAGTTTTTCTTCTGCATACTCTGCAGATCTTTTCAATTCGTTTACCAGTCTCTCAGTTTGATGCTTGAAGGCATGAATCCTGCAAAATTATTTAAAATATTAACTCAAAAAAGGGAAAAATGAACGAATCTCGAAAATTTCTTTCCAAGCTTTTAAAGAGAAGGGAAACATACTGTAATTGATGACAGATTGTATTAATTTGAAGGAAAAACTCTAAGAAAACTTTATGTGAATCATCACTCAATTTCTGAAGGCATTTCTTCATGGGATTTTTTCTTGAATCACAAAGAGGAAAGGCAGGCCGTCCAGTGTGCTGTTGAAAGCAATCACTGAGATCCCAAGCCAGTTTATACTTCAATTCTTCCTCTGCAACAATCTTCGAACATCCTGCAGATAAATCTTGATACGCATTCAACGAGCAAGATTTTGATGTAAGCATAACTAATTTAGCACTCTCGACCAAATTCATTCCCTTTACGTCGTTATCTAGAGTTTGAATGGAAAATTCAGCACCAACGGCACTGGAAATCATCTGAGTCTTTAAAGGGTCATGAGTTTCTTCATTATTAGAAGAAAACCACCACCCTCCACATGTTCCATATACTTGTGACAACAAAATCAAGAACGAAATATATAGATGTTTCATTGCGATATTCTGTTCTTTCAAACAATATAACCTGCGACACAATATTACATCGATTAATTTGAATATATTAGTTTGATGTGTGACTATTTTGTGTGCTCTTTCAGGCTTACAGAACACATTTCGAGACTTGGCGTACAAGTTATGGCGATGAAAGAAAAAACAGGATAGAAAGTGACATTCTGAACTTTTTCCGTTTACATTTAAACAGGATCAGGGGTTTCTCATTTCTATATCATTATTTGTAAAGATTCCATATGAAAACTGCTAAAAAAAGCATTTAAATGATATTTTGATGTCAATCTTTCATATTTAAATACTTACCTTTTTCTGGACAGATATGCACACCAAATAATTTGGCTGGGAAGAACGAAGTAAAAGAATGGCATCCGTTTGTTTATATAAACTGTCGTTATAATTTGGCGGGCGGCGTTTCAGTTTCCGTTATAGAAAGGTGTCTTTTAGAATCCAAGGGTCATCTAATTTCTTTTTCATTTTTCCAAAATCATAAATAATTCAAAAAAATAAATTAATAAATAAAATTCTTTAGCTTTGCTATTAGGGTTGGTTACTATAAGTTAAAGTGGAAATTACGTAAAACCCTACTTCTAAACATCTCATTTCATAAGTCATAGACTAAGTTTAGTATTTCAAAAATCAGATTTTTGAATTTATAATAATTATAAAATTAAATTAATTATATACCTAACCCATATACCATCCACCCACCACAATTTCAGTTTCAAATCCTAATCATTCTCTTCTCCCTATCCCTCCCCTTTATCTCCTCTCACTCTCACCATCAACGGTGCCACTAAGAGAGTTCAACCGATAGAAGAGCACGTCACCTGCAGGCAGCGCTGCTGTACATGCCGTTGAGCATAGAGGCTATCCCTCTCCCTAATATATATATATATATATATATATATACACACATACATACATACATACATATATACATACATATATATATGTACATACATATATGTATATGTACATACATACATATATATATATGTACATATAGATATATATATGTACATACATACATATATGTATATGTACATACATACATATATATATATACATAGATATATATATATGTATATATATATATATATATATGTATATGTACATACATACATATATGTATATGTATGTACATATATATATATATATGTACATATATATATGTATGTATACATACATATATATATGTATGTGTATGTACATACATATATATATGTATATATACATACATATATCTATGTACATACATAGATACATATATATATGTGTCTCTCTCTCTCTCTCACAATAAACAGACCGCGCCGCCAAGAGAGCTCCATCGATAGAAGAGCATGTCACTTGCAGCAGGTGTGCAGCGCAATGTTGTTTAGCAGCAACGGTGGTTGTGCTGTGATGCGATGGTGGAGGTGTGCTATGGCGGTGGTGGAAAACGGAAGTTGTGGTGGTGGTGGTTGGGTGAGTGGTGTGGTTGCGGTGATGTACCGTGATGGTTTCTTCTTGCCTATTTTCTATGAAGGAGTGTTTGGGAGTGGTGGTGGTTGAAAATGGAAGAAGTGGTTATGGTAGTGATTGTGGAGGCAGTGACGACGGTGGTAAGATGATGGCGTTTTGGATCTAATTTGTTAATGGAAAGTTGGTGGCGCAAACGCGAGTTGTGGTGATGAAGCGATAGTGGTAGTGGTGCTGCTTGTAATCGTGAAAGGGTGTGGCTGTAGTCGCGACAGTGGTGTTATTGTTGGTGGCATCGGCGGCGACGACAACTACTTGAGATGGTGTTGGATGCGTGTGACCAATTATTTGATTGATTATGACCAATAATTGGTTAATTTGTAACATGTAACCTAAAAATTTTGATTGTGACTCACAATTGAATAATTTGTGATCTAAAAACTAATTGTGAACAATTTACCTAATAATTTGCATCGAATAAATGAGTTGTGATATAAAAGTTTTGATTTGTGACCGATAATTTGTGATTGTATAATAAATTGTAACCTATAATATTTGTGATTTGAGACCAATAAGTAAATCTTGACTTAAATTTTTTGATTTGTGATTTTGTAATCGATGAACAAACTGTAATCTATAAATTTTTTGAATTGGGACTGTAAAATAATGTGACATAAAATTTTTGATCTGTGACCAAAAAATAATAATTGACGAATTAAATCATTAATTTGTGACCAAATTGTATAGATTTGTGAAAATAAATAAATAAATAATTAAATCATAAATAAATTTTAATAAAAATCTAAAATTTGAAGTTTGAAACGTGTTTTTTTGATTTTGAAATGTGTTATACTTGGCCTCTTATTTATGAAATTTTCCCTAAGTCAAAAGGAATGGCCCAAATCGAAAAGAAAATGGCTCTACAAAAGTTCAAGTTCAAGTCCAAGCTTAAACCCAATCTCAGGCCTATTTAGGCCCCGTTTGATACATATTAATGTAAAAATAAAAATGAAAAATATAGTTGTTGCGAACCCCGCACAAAAGATAGAAAGTCAAATATGGTGACTTGATGTGATGGATAATGGTCATATTTTTCATTTTAATGTGCAAATAATGGAAAACAAACGGGGGCTTAATAATTAAATTGTGCACACTTGTGAAAATGAATGGCTTGGAGCTAGTTTTCACAATTATGGTTGGTAGGCATGTCTAAGAAGTGCTTATAAGTTTAAATCATAAATAGATAGAAATTAGTTTCAATGAATGGGTAGTATTTGTAGACTTATCTAAATATGTGAATAAAAGTAGCTTTGAACTTTTGGAAAATCATGTCAAATTTCACGTGATGTCCACCTTTTGTCTTTCATCCTTGTCCATCCTCACAAAAAAATTCCAGCGTGGATTAGTTTCTTGATTAAACTTGGAAGGAATCAAATGACTTCCTTCCATGTCGAACTTACCATAATGATTTTAGATGAGTATTGATATTGGATGGCACTAATAATTGTATATGAAAACTAACAACGTGAAGGTTACTCAACAGACGCTCAACGTTCATGCTGGACCATCGACCCCATAAGCACTCTACATCTATATCGGATCGTCGACTCCATGAGTACTCTACGTCTATGTTGGGCCATCGACCCCATGAGACCATCTACCACTACACAGCCAACCCAACACTTAACTATAAAATCATCAATGAATTGGATGGAAATCGCATAACGACTGTCATGGACACAATTAATGGTCAAATAGTTGGAGGCCCCCCATTCAAACGTGGGGGTAGTGGAAGAGGCTACGTGGAAAACGTGGCATCATAACCGCCCATCATTCACGTGGCACATGTGACACCATAACTGCCCATCATTCACGTGGCTTCAATCCCCTATAAATACACCGAAGGTGAAATATGTATCTCTATCGGAATTTTGACTATCTAAATACATTCTTGCTTTTCTTTACTCAATACTAATTCTCATGCCAAAGGTAAAATGGGGGAGAAAGCTCTGCCCTCATTTTTCAGGTAGCATTTGTTCATCGAAGTAGTAAAAACATCTTGCGCCGCCAGGAGGGCACAGAGATATTGTTTCACAACTACTTCAAGTATTATGTACAAATCTAATCTCCTATCCACAATGTGTAGGATAAAAATTTCTTACTGTTGATTTGACAAAAGAGCTTTATGAGTGGTTCTCTGTAACAATAATACATTCAAATAACCATACTTACAATTTTCTTCGTCACATCAACAATGAAATTTTTTTATCCTACCCACTTAGAGCTTGAGATCAATTCTAGTATTATGTAACATGCTAAAAGTTAAAGTAAGTTTTTAAGTATTTTTAGTTTACAAGAGGAATTTGCAGGAGGATGTTGTAATCGAATTACTTATATTTCCATGTTTCAAATGCATAGAGAACTTGAGCATGTATAACTTAATCAGTAGTTTTTAAATATATAAATCTTCTACACAATTTTAGAGATGATATGATGGACAAATTTTCCAAACATTTTATTATCTTTTAACCATTGGGGTCACCGGATTTTAAAACCACAAGAATTTATTTCTCGTGATGATAAACATTCTGTAAAAAGGATTTGATTACTTTTATATACTAATAAGAATACGATTTTGTTAACAGTAAACATATGAGTGTTTAGGGATTATCCTTATAGCCTGCTTTACTAAATATCTCCCTGTGTTCTTCCTATTGATTCCACTTTTAACTCCTCCGGCCTTCTCTGACGTCGTTCAAGAATTGAGGAATTGCAATAATTTTATTTTATTTTGTGTGTGGTCATAATAATAATATTGATATATATGGTGTTGGGGATCCTAGGAGTTCAATCAACCAAAACAACAATCAACAAACAAGATTCAAGGCAAAAACAAGAAAAAACGGGAATGGAAAAATACAACCCCTTTTTGGCCGAAATCTGTCCAGCTTTCCTTCCTCGTTTCAGCAGCTTCTTCTTCGATTTATGGGTGTTTTTCCAGGCTTAGGAACAGCCCCATGCTATGCCAATTGTCTTCCAAAGAGAGAGGGGAAAAACCAATGAAGAACCACCACCTTTTTCTATGAAAAAACCGAGAGCTCCTACTGCTGGGAATAATAGAGACCGAGAGCTGCCCCCTTTATTTGAAAATGGTAGAGAGTACATATGAAGGGGTAGGAAGGAAGACCATGCCTCTACCAAAACATGGGAAGACCTTATTGTGTCAACCTCACTCCCATCAAGTCACAACATTGGGTGGGGTTAGGTGAACCATATCCTCACATTCTTCACCTTGGTTCTCCTAACACTTTCTCTTAGCTGCGAATTTGCACATGGAAGAACTGTTCATCATCATCGCCCACCACCTGCAAGAAAAATTAACCAGTGTCAATGTGTAATAAAGATAAGCACAATCTAAATTTACTTGCAGGTAGAATTTTTGTTCCCATGTCAGAGGGATTCCTATCAGTGTGAATTTTAACAAGATTAACTTCACCTTGAGACAGTTTCTCACGTATAAAATGATACTTTACCTCAATATGTTTAGTTCTTTCATGGTAAACAGGATTTTTACAAAGCAATAAAGCACTTTGACTATCAGTAAACATAACAGG